AGCATTTTTCAGTTTTTTTTTTTTTTTTNNTTTTTTTTTTTTAAAAAAAAAAAAGATTATTTTACATATTTTAGTAATTTTATATTTCCCAAATTAAAAATGATGATCTTTACCTCTAATTTTTGGGAGAGTTGAAAATAATTTTGATCAACGGGTACCCAAAAGGCGTGCTGCCTATCTTCCGGTGTGCCGTCCACAGGGAATATCTCCTCCGGTTGGAACCAAATGTTGTTCAATAAATTGTCATTTTCCGGGCATTTACTCACATTTGTGGCATAACTCGCAAAATTTATGAACCCGATTTCTCTTGTGTAGTCGCCAAAAGCTTCCAGGGGCAGCTCATTTTCTGGTCCATTCCCATGTCTCTATACAAATATAATATATTTAAGTATTTAAAATCATTTCACGAAAAGTGTGAAACTATCATCACCTCGGAGATACTCCTTATTGTTCCCATAGCTACAAATCTTTTCTTATGGTGTATCAATGATGGCCGGTTTCCAATTTTCGTGTATCGTTTTGCCAAGAAATCAAATTTGTGATATTCTCCGCCAAGGTCCAAAAGTCGTGATGTTTTAGCAATATGATAAAAGGTTGTGATATAACGAGTTATTTTGCCTAAATAAAAATATTTGACAGTCATGTCACACTCAAACTAAATTTAACCACAATTATTAAAAGGAAAAATAAATGAAGAAAAAAGGAAAAAAATAGGGAATTAAATGATATATATATATACCTGCCAACTCCAAAGAGCTGAATGAGCCCAATATTGGGGAATAGTAACATCACCCAAATTAAACTGTGGATTTGCATTCCCAGCAATACCATAGTGCACAACTCCTTTGACATTGAACAAAGTCAACAATAATTGTGTGGTAATACCTGCATTTAGCTATTCAAAACAAAAATATATATATTTTAGAAATTATAATTAACCATATTAATTAGCATCATATAAAAACTAAATTAAGTATATTTTCTAGCAACAACAATAATCGAGGCAGTCGATCAATACAGATCAATCTGAAACCATATTCAAATCCAACCGAGAACCAAACTATGGAATATGAATACATAAGAAATGTGCTGAATCGAATCTTTTAAATGAACAGATAAAATTCGCGTGCAATAATAAGCCATATATTTACCATGGCTAATCCCGTCATGACCAATATGACTTTTTCTTCGCCAATCGTCCCAAAACGAAACCTCTTTCCTGTGATCGAATAAACATGTTACATATAAAAATAGCAAAAATCAAACTTAATTTTTTTTTTTGTTATTTTTAATATAACAATTGAAAATGCATAAATTAGTGATCATACCTGCAACATCAATAGTGAGATTTGATGGTTTGTAACTTGGGTGTTGAAGAAGAGGATTCATCTCAAACAGATTTGGTATCACAAGCCCAATATAAGGCCCATTTTTGTTGACCTTATTCAATAGTCTTTGTGTGCTTAAATGTATAGTAGCACCATTTGTAGAGTAATTAGGGATTATTGCTAAGAAAATGAAAGTGGCCAAAGGAAAAAGCCTAAAATTAGTACATGCAGCTGCCATTTTCATGTTCATGCAGCTTTGTGTATTATGAGATCATGAGAATGTGAGGAACTATATATATATATATTATATCTACCAGCACTGTACATAGAGATTGTGAGTTATTAATAGGTTATGTTAAAAGTTAGGTTTGGATACCCAAAACACTTGGATGAGATGGCTTGGGTCTCTTCCAGCTTAACCAGTGGTCTCGTGTTCGAGCCCTGGGAATGCAGCAGTGTTAAAAACTCTTGAGGGAGAGTTTTGCCACCCTTGTGGTCCTACCCGGCTCGATTCCGGATTAAGTTTTAAAGTTATTCTACCAGTTTCGACCAAATTAGCTAAATTTAAAAGTTATTGAACTAATTTCGGACTCCAGTAAGTTACTGGACAAAAATGGAAAAACACTTATAGTTAGTGAAAGACTGAAACTACAAATTTTCTCTATCTTTAGCAACCGAGTAATTCTGAATATGAATAAAATATAGTCTTATTATAATTCGAGAAACCAATAGTAGTAGTTCCATATTTTTTTAGATTGACTAATTTGTGAACAATATATTTGCCGGAAGTACAATTATAATCGAAAATTTAATGAGAATACAAGCGCTCGACTTTTCAAATTTTGATGTAAAAATAGGAGAAAAATGATTGGAATTGATGATTAGTTAAAATTATGTGAGTGGATGAATAATGAATTAAAGTTGATGTGATGTGCAAGAATGTATTGATATATATTATTTACTTATATTAATAATAATAATAATAATAATAATAATAATAATAATAATAATAATAATAATAATAATAATAATAATAATAATAATAATAATAATAGTGAGGTTGAGCTGAATTTGAGTTTTGATTGATTTTTTACCAAATTTATATCCCGTCACCCCCTAACTTGTATATATATATAAATGATTAACAATAAATCAGACAATTATTGCCCCCTTGTCATCCAAGGTTGTACGAACATTGTAAATATTGACCAGTATAATCACAATTATTTGTCTTTAGAGACAATAAGATATTAAGGGAAGATAAATTTCAAAATTGAACATAATTTACATTTTCTATTAAAATGACCTTTGTTGTGTCTTGTTCAGTTGTTTGTGATGTGAAATAAAGATTAATTTTTTTATGGAAGATAGGTTTATTCGATCCTATCGGTGAATGCAGTGTAGCCGTCAGATTTTTGTTTAATGTGGGATTAACAGACAAATTCATATGATTAATTTGTATTGATCTAACAGTTAAAAAAAAAAAAAAATCAATTATTACAATTCAGTAAATGTTAGGTTGAAATGAATATATGGATGATATATATATATATCTTAGTTTGAAACTCAATAAAATTTTGTTGGTATATGCAAAATTTAGTCATGGTGGTAGTTGTGGAATAATGAAGGTTGAAAAAAAAAAGCATAAGTACCAAAAATTGATAGGCAAACGAGTGGTATCAATAGCCTTATCTCTTCCAATTATTCATCAATAGCAATGACTTGTCTATTGTAAGTTTGTAACTTCTCTCTTATTCTTATAAGAAAAAATAGGAGGCCATTTCAGCCCGACACGTGTCCACCGTTTCAGCCTGACACGTCTTCTTGCAAGCTTACAGGAAAAGTCCCTCATTTTG